ACAAGATTGGGGCATTTTTTCCGCGAAGCTCTCTAATGTACATTGTATTAGTGGGGCTATCTTGTCTTTTTCCTGAGTCTCAATAACCCACACATTTTTAGTAGCATCCCAGTTGCCACTGCAGGGGGACTTTTTGGGGGCAAAATTGAATTCTTCTGGAAATCGAATTGTATTGTTGATAAGAGTTGGGCCTCTTTTGAGTTGAGACCAAGTCAAAAACACCCCAAATAAAATCCAAGATGAGATAAAAATAAAAATCTGTCGGTGCTGATAATTCAGCATAATTTTTGCGTCTGTTGCAATACAAAAAATCACGTTTAGCTTTAAAAGTCAGCTAATTTTAATTGATAAAGTCAATCAACGTTGCTGAAAACCGCCACTGCATGAAAAAAAATCAAGAAAAACAAAATAATGGTGTTAATGAAAACTTTGCAAAACTCAGTTTTACTCAAAAAAGTTTCATGAACGTATTTTAAAAATTTCAATTTTCTTCTTATTAGTAAACAAAACTAATCGCCTATCTGGGCGAAGCCTTTTATGTTTCGACTGCACTTAAAGGCTGATTACAAAGTTTGGTTGAAGTTGATGAAATATTTGAAACAAAAGTTTTTTTTTCATGTGCTTTCCGTGCTTTTTAAGGGCTATTGACTAGAAAAAAACCCATCATGAATTGGTTTATTGTACCCGCCAGTTTTTCGAAACTTCACTACGACCGATTAGTCTGGGTGTAACTAAAGCTTTTGTTGAGGTTTTAGGGGATTGGAAAAACTACCCTAGCCATTTTTGACAGCAGGAAGAACTGCTTGATTTTTTTTTAATTTTTGCACTAGTTACTTTGCGGAAAAGTTGAGTTACGAAAAATCACACTTACGGTTCCAAAAAATCACTTTGCAAAAAAACAAGGACTTGTAAGCAAAAGCAAAGAAGTTTGACATGTTAAAGCAATTTTTAGGAGAAAAAAAACATGAAGTTCATCCAGTTTTTCAATCAATTCTACAACGATATTCATTTCAGCCATTTTTTTGTTAAGCATATCTTTGAGACAATATTCGCCTATAGTGAAGCCTAAGATAAGAAGTTCATTCTTTGATTTGATATCTGTTTTTGGACAAGTTATAAAAATTGACCCTTGATTAGTTGTACTTCGAGCTTGTGGTCAGTCCATGCCAAAGAGCTCAATTTTTTTCTTTGTTTAGTCTCAACTAGGTTTTTTCCGAGCTCACTGTGCTCTTAAGGTGTCGGTAAGTCGAAGGCTTTTATTTTTATTATGATAATTATGATTCCAACCATTATTATTATGATTATACTTATTATGATTATGATGATTAGTATGATTATAGTCATTCCCGACTCCTGGTTAAAAAAATTGTCTTCTTTCCAGACGCTATGTCAAAAACTAACGATCTGTTAGAAAAAGGAAGTTCATACCCCCATTAAGAAAGAGCATACCTTCAACCACTGCTGTGGTTGCTTAAGCTCCTCAAAGTGGACTACTTCTTACCACTTTTGCCAACAGTTGATAGATTGCCAAAATAAAATCCTACTTCCGGCCAAATGTTAAAATTATCTACTGCATGATAATTATTGGCTAGAAAAAGTCTTCGGTTGAAAACAAAATTCACGACCTTTTGTATGTGGTAAAATTCTATGTTCGGGTAATTTTTCGGACAAAATCTTCTATCGGAGTAATTAAATTTTTGGTTAATCAGTTGTGACTCATTTGGTGATCCTGTAAAGAAGTTAATGCGCTTTTTGAGAGAAAAAAAATGAATCACCAAGTGTTTAAAAAACCCAAGCTTCATGACTAGCCGTAAAAAAAAATCGGTTATCTGATATCTTTCTTGTCATCAATTAATTTTGCTGCTAACAAATAACGTTTCGCTTCAACTTTTACAGCCTCATCTTTCTTTTTGGTTTTTATTTATTGAGTTTGTTTGCTTCTAGAGATGATCGGCACTCTCTTTAAGTACAAGGCAAACACTTTCCATACTGTTTAACTGTTTTTTTCGCTTTTCGAAACTTTTGGTATAATAATATCAAAGTGGAACTAAACTGTATGATCTGGTCTCCATAATTGACTTTTCAAGTCAATGTGCCAAACTGATCGACTGAAAAAAATTTTTACGAACGAAATTTTTTTTTAGTTTTTGCCATAAAATCGAGTAATCAGATAAGCAGTTAGAATAACTCGACCCAAAAATCGGTTATTTAAAAAACCCAAGCTACCTTATGGCACTATTTCTGCACGGGCTTTCGACTGATACTAAAGAAAAAATATCGAAGCCTTCGATTATCTAGTCAATGAGTTTCATCACACCCGACAGTGTCTCCCTTTCAGAGGGCTCCGACCAAATGTTGGGGTTAGTGTTTTTATTATGATTTTTAATAAATAAAGAAGGCTATTTTTTTGCTTACTAGAGATTTGTAATATCCATTGGGCTCTAACAAAACTTTCTTGGAAAAATTTCGGTATTAAGGCCCGCGGCATCCTGAACTTCAGTAGCTGTTGGCTGAAAAATATACCCATCATTAATTGATTCTCTATTCTTGTCAGTTTTTGAGAATTCCACTTCTGCCGCATATATTCCGGGTTAAACTAAGGCAGCTTTTGCTCCTATTGATGAGGCTTTAAAAAACAGGTAAAGCTAGTAGATGATTAGAAAAACTACACAAGCCTTTTTTGGCAGCGGGAACAGCTGTCTGAAAAAAAAATGATTCAATTTTCTTTTTTGCATTTGTTATTTACGTTCTGAGGTAAAAACAAATCACATTTACTGTAACAAAAAATGACTTTGCAAAAAAAGCAAGGACTTGTCAGCAAAAACAAAGAAGTTTTGGCATCTTAAAGCAATTTTTAGGAGGTATAAACTATAATTTGCATCCAGTTTGTCAATCATTTCTGGAACAATTTTCAATTGGCTGTTTTTTCACTGGCGTATCTTTGAGACAATAAATTTCTTTGAAGAAGCCTAGGCTTAGTAAATCAATCTTTAATTGAATTTTGTTTTTTGACAACTTATAAAATTGACCTATGACTGATTTTTGTTGCGTACTTGTGGTCTGTTCTTGAAAATTGAGCTCACATTTTTCTGTGTTTAGGCTAAAGAAGATTTGTTTCTGAACTCAATGGACTCCTCTCAGTCTGGGGGAATTGTTTTTCAGTCATTGGCTAGGTTCGCATCATCTGAACATCAATCATTTTCTTTTATTTCAAGCTTTTTCACTGGCTTATGTTATGTTTCGGCAGACATGGGTAGAGCCTCTGTGTCTATTTGCTCTGTTCGGTCCATTTTTGGTGAAAAAAGTAACTCGGTTATTAGCGGGTAGAAGGAGTATGTTTATACAACAACAGGTGGTTTAAAAAGTGATTGAAAATAGTTTTTCTTTTAAGCTTATTAAATGCTTTATTCGAAGCTTTTTTTTTCGAAACTGAATTTTTCGGGTTATCATTACGCTCTATCACTTTTTTAATGGAGTATGCTGCAATTTCAGATCCTCGCTCCTTACCATAACTCATTGAGAACTCTAAAAGTTTTTGTTGCATATCCAGTGCCTTGGTTCCCGCGCATTATGACGCGAGGTGGCTGAGTGTTTTTACGACAGTAATTGGTCATAAAACTTTTTCTACAATTATTGCTCCTCAAAAGAAAAGTTCTAACAGTTTGGATACGTTAATTTTTTCATTGATGTTTAAGTGCTTAGTAAGCCACTAAAAAGTTGAGCCCGCATTGCCGCTCAATTTACTAATATTGTCTTTAAATATTTGCTTAACAGTTTTGCTTAGATCGCCTCCCAAACCATTTGGAAAAGACCGTTTTTTGTATACATCGATTTAGTAACATTGAAACTCGACATTTTTTTGACATCTTTTGAGTTTTAGGTATTTCATTCAGCTGCTTTAGAGAGCTAACAAACTAATTTTTTTTATAGTTAAGGGTCGAAAACAGCCCAAACTTGTCATCCGAAGCAGCAAGTTTTTTCTCTCGCTTATCATTCTCACATCGAGCTTGCTGTTGATTAGCCACATCCTCGGCTCCAAATATGTCTAGCGTGGGCTTGACCCTTGGAGAAGTATTTTACGCAGTGAAACAACATTGGCTCTTACTTTTTGTATACAGCGCTCAAATCTGTCGCTTGTTTTAGTAGAATTAATGTTTTTTTTTAATATTGTTTGGTAGAAACATGCAATTTTAAACGGACATGTCTCCCTACTCTTCATGTCCTCAAAATCAAAAATCCTGATCAAAGATTAGACATGTCACATCTGGAGAGCTGAAAAATTAAAACAATTTTAAAACAGCTCAACGACAGAACCTTCCTCTTTTGCAGCCTTTAAGCAAAACGCTGCTTTTTCATTACCGGAAAATTTGTTTTGCAATATATCAGCTGGCTCATTTTGCATAAAAAGCAACCAACGATTGTAACTGAAAAATTGTTACTTCCCGGAAGGTTACTAGTCCTCTCGCAAACTGTCTTTTTTCAACTGTTAATTCAAAGTTTTCTTTTTCTCATTTTTCTCGTATGAGCTATTGACTTCTGTCAACGAGAGTTCACAAGCGTCTGTTACTTCAGTTAGCGCAAATTAATAAAATGTTACGTCTTGTAATCGCCTGCTAAACTTTTCAAACCTTCCAGAACTTTTTTTTTCGAAATTCGAATATTTCAATAATCGCATATCTGAACGTATTGTATTTTTTTTTGGGAGCTAAAAATTTAAATTTGCATGTTCAACTCACTGGCCTCCTCTCAGTCTGGGGGAATTGTTTTTCAGTCATTGGCTAGGTTTGCATCATCTGAACATCAATCATTTTCTTTTATTTCAAGCTTTTTCACTGGCTTTTGTTATGTTTCGGCAGACATGGGTAGAGCCTCTGTGTCTATTTGCTCTGTTCGGTCCATTTTTGGTGAAAAGGTAAGTCGGTTATTAGCGGGTAGAAGGAGTATGTTTGTACAGCAACAGGTGGTTTAAAAAGTGATTGAAAATAATTTTTTCTATTAAGCTTATTAAATGCTTTATTCAAAGCTTTATTTTTTTGAAACTGAATTCTTTGGGTTATCATTATGCTCTATCACTTTTTAATGGAGTATGCTGCAATTTCAGATCCTCGCTCACTACCAAACCAAATGAGAACTCCTAAAATTTTTGTTGCATTTCCAGTGCCTCGGTCCCCGCGCATTATGACGCGATGTGGCTGAGTGTTTTTACGACAGTAATTGGTCATAAATCTTTTTCTACAATCATGAGAGCGATAAATATTGCTCCTCAAAAGAAAGGTCTTAACGGTTTAGATACGTTAGTTTTTACATTGATGTTTAAGTGCTTAGTAAGCCACTAAAAGTTGAGCCCCGCATTGCCGCCCAATTTACTAATATTGTCTTTAAATATTTGCTTAACAGTTTTGCTTAGATCGCCTCCCAAACCATTTGGAAAAGACCGTTTTTTGTTTACATCAATTTAGTAACATTGAAACTCGACATTTTTTGACATCTTTTGAGTTTTAGGTATTTCATTCAGCTGCTTTAGAGAGCTAACAAACTAATTTTTTTTATAGTTAAGGGTCGAAAACAGCCCAAACTTGTCATCCGAAGCAGCAAGTTTTTTCTCTCGCTTATCATTCTCTTATCGAGCTTGCTGTTGATTAGCCACATCCTCGGCTCCAAATATGTCTAGCGTGGGCTTGACCCTTGGGGAAGTATTTTACGCAGTGAAACAACCTTGGCTCTTACTTTTTGTATACAGCGCTCAAATCTGTCGCTTGTTTTAGTAGAATTAAGGTTTTTTTTTAAATATTGTTTGGTAGAAACATGCAATTTTAAACGGAAATGTCTCCTTACTGTTCATATTCTCAAAATCGAAAATCTTGATCTAAGATTAGACATGGTACATCTGGAGAGCTGAAAAATTAAAACAATTTTAAAACAGCTCAACGACAGAACCTTCCTCTTTTGCAGCCTTTAATCAAAACGCTGCTTTTTTCATCACCGGACAATTTGTTTTGCATTATATCAGCTGGCTCATTTTGCATAAAAAGCAACTAACGATTGTAACTGAAAGATTGTTACTTCCCGGAAGGTTTCTAGTGTTCTCGCAAACTGTCTTTTCTCAACTGTTAATTCAAAATTTTCTTTTTCTCATTTTTCTCGTATGAGCTATTGACTTCTGTCAACGAGAGTTCACAAGCGTCTCAGTTAGCGCAAATTAAGAAATTGTTACGCCTTGTAATCGCCTGCTAAGTTTTTCAAACATTCCAGAACGTTTTTTTTCTTGAACTTCGAATAATTTCATAATCGCATATCTGAACGTATTGTACATTTTTTCGTGAGCTAAAAATGTCAATTTGCATGTTTAACTTACTTGCTCATTTTGTTTTGTTTGTCAGCGGGCGTTACACTTCATAGGGTGTCAATTGTGGTAGTCTTTTCAAATCCTATTGATCGAGTCGTGTTTCGGATTCGAGGAAAAATCGAAAAAACTGTATCAAAAATCAAAACAAGTGATTTTGTTCAAGTTAAATTACTTGATCGTGCCTGGATATGCTCGCAGAGATGTAGTCGAGAATATGAGTATTTAGTTTTAGTTACTTGAGCGCATATATAGGATTTTTTGAGGTAAAGCGAGTTGTAGCTTGATCCATCTGAACTGGATCAAATGTACACTGTCCGATAAAAGCTATAGTGAATACTTGAGGTTCGAACCCTGCTTTTATTGATACCTAACCATAAAGGCGTTACTGTTTCTATCTAGATTGCAGGGTTTTTTCGTAGTGACCCTTACGCTTTGACGATCCTAAAGTTCCATGTCATAAGCGAACCGCGAATGATTGAAGTACAAAAGCACAATGATTGAGGTACAAAAGCACAAGAGATGATGTCCCTGACCCTTGAGCTTATGGTTATTGGGCCCAATTTTCCTAGCCTCATATGTGACCTAAAAGAACGACTGTTACAGAAACTGCTCTGAATACTTTCAAATTTCAGACTGGAGTAAACAGATTTGCTGAGGTGGAACAATCGCCCTGAAAGTACATAACGATGGAGAGTAAAACTATATCCTATAACGACTGGCAAACGTCAAGATAAAGCTTCACGTGCTTTTCACCGTCTAAACCGAAGCCAGTTCGAAATGGTCCTCATAACATCGGGTCAACGATTTGTTACCGCGTTTCGGATTCGAGGAAAAATCGAAAAAATTGTATCAAAAATCAAAACAAGTGATTTTGTTCAAGTTAAATTACTTGATCGTGCCTGGATATGCTCGCAGAGATGTAGTCGAGAATATGAGTATTTAGTTTTAGTTACTTGAGCGCATATATAGGATTTTTTGAGGTAAAGCGAGTTGTAGCTTGATCCATCTGAACTGGATCAAATGTACACTGTCCGATAAAAGCTATAGTGAATACTTGAGGTTCGAACCCTGCTTTTATTGATACCTAACCATAGGGGCGTTACTGTTTCTATCTAGATTGCAGGGTTTTTTCGTAGTGGCCCTTATGTTTTGACGATCCTAAATTTCGATGTCATAAGCGAACCGCGAATGATTGAAGTACAAAAGCACAATGATTGAGGTACAAAAGAACAAGAGATGATGTTCCTGACCCTTGAGCCTATGGTTATTAGGCCCAATTTTCCCAGCCTCATATGTGACTTAAAAGAACGACTGTTACAAAATTGCTCTGAATACTTTCAAATTTCAGACTGGAGTAAACAAATTTGCTGAGTTGTAACAATCGCCCGGAAAGTACATAACGACGGAAAGTAAAACTATATCCTATAACGACTGCCTAACGTCAAGATAAAGCTTCACGTGCTTTTCACCGTCTACACCGAAGCCAGTTCGAATTGGTCCTCATAACATCGGGCCAACGAGTTGTTATCGCTTAGAGGCTATCAACCGAGTCACTCAGGTTAACTTAATTGCATGCAAAGTAGTGAACTCATGGCTGGGTCTCAGTATCCCCAGACCCCGTCCTCACTACCAAAAACGGGATAGATACATTATCATTTTAAAGTTACCATATTACTATTGTTTTTGTACAGTAGAGAAAATCACCCTATCCATCGGAGATGGTTCGAACCTTTCCTTATCCCAGCTTCTCATAGCCTGAAACTGAAAATCTCAGGTAGCTAAAAGTTATTTAAACAATAGTTCGGAAGTATATCCCCGGAACCTTACGATTCCTTCAATATTACTGAAGAGACATCTTCTTCACGACTAGGCAGAGTTGCCGTCTTCGCTCTTGACCTTATCGATTGGTTCTATCCTTCCGGTAGCGATTGTATCACCACAATCGTTACAATTCAGAAAGCTTCTTGTTTTTCCGATAATCTTCTCTCCTGATAACGTCACAATTTTTCTGCATTAGTGAAAATCACGGTTCTTTAGATGATTCTGGCTTTGCTGCGTTTCAGTTGTCGCAAAATTAAAAAAGTTCACGTGTTTTTCTTTTCGAACAAGTTGTTTAAAATAAGCATGTCAACTCAAAGTGACTCTTCCCAATTCGCTCTTTTCGTAAGATGAGACCGTTAAACACAGAAATTACTTTTTCGTACAGTCGAACCACTCAAAATAAAAATCGTTTTGGCAAACCATTTTTGGCGGCATTCTGGCCGAATGTCACAAGAGGTTGACCTTCTAACTTGCAATCAATTCAACCGCATTTGTTAGAAAAAACACCAAGAATTTTTAGACGGGAAAAAATAGAAAAAAAAAATAAAGTGAAAAAAGGAGTTTCTGTTTGATTTCTTTTCTCAAATCAATTCATCTCTCATTTCAGTTACAAAAAAATCGAAAGGTTTTTTGGACATCTTACTGGTGTGGGGCATTCAACTCAGCTGTTCTTGGGAGCTTACATACTGAGCAGCGAACTGACACTTAAGTTGTAGTTCCGGAAGCGAATTTTCGGCTAATACAAAACAAACAAATTTCGAAAAAATTGATATGTTTCGATATTGAAAAATTGATGAAATCGAAAAATTAAATTTAACTTAATTAAAAGATAAAGTTCAGAGAATGTCTCAAAAAGACTTCAGTCTGATAATTTAATCATGATGTTATTTTGGCGCGAGTTTCAAATTTGCAAATATCTGATTAGTTGAATTTTTATTATTTTGTATAGCCACTGTCCTAGGATATTTTTATGATCGATGATCATTTTAACAAAATTTCAAAACTTCTAAACCTGATGATGCACATATGTGCGAAAACGTTCGTAATTCACATTTTTAAATACCTCTATCTTATATACTGGTTTCTCATAGCAAGGGATCGAAAATAGGGTGACCTTGTCATCCGATGCGCCAGTTTTTTTTACTCATTGAGCTTGCTGCTGATTAGCCTCATTCTCTGCTCAATATCTGTCTCGGGTGGGTTAGCTTTCATTGACCAATTGAACAGTTCTGGTTACTAAAGCGACTGAGTCTTTTAATGTCCACAAATGGGACTGATTTTGCACAAGCAGAGTGTCACTTATTGTCATTTTATGAAGTCCGCTTTTTTTGCAAGCAAGCCAAAGCCTACTTATAAATGTCCTTTGAAAGTGTTTACATATCCTGTTGCTGTTTAGCAATTGCATATCGATATTCGCATAGTTCGTGGCAAGTTGTTAACTACTACAATAGCGTTTTACGCAAATGGGAGAACGTGAATAGATTGTGCAAGTCGGAGGTTGCCTTTAGATTATATTTGCTGGCTTTTTTGCTGCATAGCTTCGGCAATTAATTGTTCCGACCATTGAAAATGGGGAGGAACTTTGTATTCGTGTGTATTTTAGTTTTTTTTCAAGCAAAATCGTGTGACACAAATAATCATCAGACTGGGTTGACTGATGAGTCGTGATTCGAACAATTTTGTTTTCTAGTGTCGAGAAATACCGATTTGAAATTTTTGATCTTTCGTCTTAATTCGAGCGAAAAATAAGCTTGCATTTGCTTAGTTTAAAGAGGGCACCGGATGAAATAGCAATACACGTCCTGTAGTACCCGAGACACCGACACAAACATTTTGTGCCACAATCAATAAACATTCCTCATCGAATATCATTCCAGCATAAATTGTACATTTTCAATATTTCTCTATTCTTTATACCGATGATTTTTTCGTGTTGTCGTAGACCCATAATATTGAAGTCCACTCTTAAAATTCTTGGCGTTATGGCTGTTTTTTCCTTTGCTTTGTTTGTCAGCGGGCGGTAGCCTTTTTAAGTCCTATTGGTCGTGTCGTATTTCGGATTCTAAGGAAAATTCGAAAAAGTATCACAGTCAATAATATCTGGTCTCCATATTTTCGAATTTCAGACTAAATTTGCTGAGAGTTTGACCTCCAACTTGAAACTAATTCAACCGCATTTTTAAGAAATAAGAAGAAAATTTAGACAGGAAAAACTGAAAAATATTTTTATGTAAGAAGAATGTTTCCTCTTTGATTTCTTTTCTCAAATCAATTCGGCGAGAAAATTCTGTGTTACTCACACAGCAACCGGCTCTCCTTTTTTATGTTTAACCTCTGATTGTTGAATTTCAGTTACACAAAATAATGGCGGCAAGTGCTCCATCTTATGCTCATATGCTACCTGGATATGGCGTTATTGTCTCTCGATTTGATAGGCCAACTGGGCAAGCCCAGGTGAGTGACGCAGATTTTTCGCGACAAAATAATTTGACAAGTCGATTTGAATTTAATGCATAATTAACATATTGTTGTAGGTTAAAATTTAAGCCTTTAAATTGGCCGAAGTTATTGAATTTCCCAGATTCTTTAAAAATATTCTCGGTTTTTCAGTCGGTCAACTTCGATGCCATCAGAGAGTCAGCCAGGAATGAATGGCTCAGTCATTACGAATCCTTCAATCTCCCTGAAGCTCCGCCCTTAACCGAGACTTCCTATACGGCCCAGTACGCGCCAAAGAAAAGATTCTCCCCTCATAAATTTTCTTGGGACGAGGAGCGAACGAACAAGCCACATCCCTCTGAGTAGGTTCTAAGTACCATAAAAGAATGCATCGTTTGTATGATTTTAGCTTGTAGATATTTACCCCTTTTTGCTCAGGGTGTTTCTTTGTACTCATTTGAAGACTTTGCCGGGATTCTACAAGCGAAACACGGCTAGTGTCAAGAATACTCCTGGATTTAAAGATGCGCATGTTGCAAAAGCATCGTCGGCTCGGCCTTACAAAGGTGACTTTGTGTTTGTGTTTGCATGTGCGTAAAAAACTTGACACCTTTTCCGATCAATAGTTGAGAGTAAATTTTATTTAACAATTCCAAACATCATTTGGCTTTCATTGATATAGAGGGGCTTCGCTATTTTTATTTGTTTAGTTAAATCTTGAATAACAATTTTAGTAGACGGAAGCACTGAGTTGATGTTTGCGGAACAATTGAAGCGTATGCAGCAGAAAGAAAAGCCTGTAGCCGTGGGCGGAGATGACAAGACTTTGAATTCATTCATGAAAAACGAAGTAAGGTTTCAGTAAATGTAAATAAAATAAAGATGTTTTTTTTATAGTTTGTCATTTCAGCCAATATATCGTTCATTGGATCCCCAGACGGCTCAAGCAACGGAAGCATGGCTGAAGATGGCCAAGCCTGAAGGTACGATTTTTTTGTTGACGTTTTTTATTCACATCAGTATGTGAATGCATCTGTTTTCGCTTGTGTAGATGGTGAAGCTGTGCAAGAAATGTTGGAGTACGTGGTAAAAAAAGATCAGGCTGGAAAGGTAGGGGTCATTAGTTTCTAACTTTCAAGCCGTAGATACCCAATAACAATAATAATGATAGTATGTTACCCTATGTTGCTATTCAGATGGTTCAGAACATCGCGAAGCCGGAAGTTCAGAGTAAAATTCAGAATTGGCTGAAATCCGCTGACCGAGAAAGTAAGGGCATCCGTTCAAATCTGTTTTAAGAGTCATCAGTGATTCAATGTGGTTTCAACATTAGATACACGCGTCGAAGACTTGAGTTATTAGAGACATGCACATATATATTTGGGTTTATGCAAAAAAAACATTGTTTTCAGAGGTGGATGCAGCGCACAAGCTGTTTGCGGCATTGGAAAGTGGAAAGTTGATTGACAGAAAATCATCCACTGCATTCCGATACAGTCCCACAGTGTACAAGTATGAGCGACTGAATTTCAAGCCCAAGCCCAGGGAGTACAAGCTGCACCCAAGTCTAATCGACAGGGACTACCCTCCGCCCATCAGAACTGGATCAAAATAGGGACCAACTGGATACCAAATGTCACGGAACTCTAAAAGTCCTCTATCACTTGTAAAAAGCTTGTAAAAAACAAGGGCTCTGCCTGCTTAGATTTCATCAAATGAACTGCATCTATCATTCGGCGTAACGCGCAAGATCATGTTGATCAGATTATCAGTTGCAAATATTGAATTTAAATTGTAAATATGTGTCAAATTGTAAATATGTGTAAATAGTCAAACAAATTCTTGGAAAAAACAACTGCCTGCGAAATCCGTAGCTAAAGATTGTAAATACCGGGGAACAACTCGGTTTAAATAGAATAGTGTTGAGCTTCTGAAACTAATATATTAAAACTTTTTTGTTCTCGAAATTTTTTAAGGAATTGGTGAACTTTTGCAATTGTGAAAGAACTTTTTGATAATTTGGCCGAATATGTTTTGAAATTAATGTGGCAAATGTAGGAGTTCTCAGAAGTTTGTATTTTGCCCCCACCATTGAAAAGGAACTTCGTATTCGGGTGTGTTTTAGTTTTTTAGGAGTAATGAACGCAGTGAAGACTCTTATATAGGTCTTGCTGTTTTTTTTTATTTTCGTAGGAAAAAGTCTTAAAATATTGATGCACTCTCCAAATACGCAAAAACATGGACGATTTCTAGTTTCAAAAGTGGAATTAATTTTCAAGATTTCCCAGCGAATAAAAACTTTGCCTATTGATCCAGTTTTCTCAAGTTGGGTTCATGTTATCAAAAAAACGCCAATCATAAATTGTTCTAGAAATTCCAAGAGCTTAAAGGGCATCTATTTTTTTCTTTGAAATTCGAAAATTGAGATTTTAAAAAAAGTCAGTGTTTTTTTAATGTTTACTTGCGTTCATTACTCTTTTCCAATCTTCGATTGGCTGTTTTTTATTTTCTACGCAAAATCAGATATCACAAATAATCATCGGACTGGGTTGAGTGATATTAAAGCCCTTCCAGTCCTGATTCGAACGACAAAAAAAATTTCTGAAAAAATGTCCGCAGTATCCGAATCGCAGATCGCTTGTCGATATATAAGCAAACGTTGAAGTGTTAGAACTTTTTTTTCCAACACAACTCGGAATTAATAGTGCGCATGTGGTGGCAGTTTTGCTATATTTCCAAGCATTGTCATTTTAATTACAGTTGTAGCTGCTTTATTGGTGGCGAGTGTTAATATAGGTCTGAGCGATTGGTGCAGATGACCTGATCGCGAGGTCGGAGGTGCGGTTCCGGCAAAATTTTTAAAATACCTTTATAGTGGCCCTGGCAGCGCATCGTCTTTTTATAGCAACTGCAGGATCTTTAATTTTAGCTAAATTATGCTCTCGTAAGCAAACGTGGCGCAGATAGGAGGAAGTTCGACTCCAGATCGGAGGTTCGTTTCCGTCAAATAGCCCACATTTTTTCTTCGGTTCTACTTTTTGTTTCTTAAATTTATTTTCGACCGCAAGGCTACTTCTTGCCGTTTTTTTGCATGCATTTCTCCTCTGTGTTATTCCTGTTCCGACTACTACCGCATTACATTAGATGGGAATGAACTAGGTTGTAGGGTAGGTTTTTTCGCGAGCTTGAGTGCATCGCGAAAATTCCGAAAGCTTCAATGGTGAAGCCAATAAGGAACTTTTTCCTGAGAAATGCATTTCAAAAAATTGCGAGAAACAGGTCTATTTTTTTTCTATTCTGACTCAAACTCAGCGAGAAGCGGATAGTTTTTTGATGAGTTTTTAAAGTACAACTTTACTATTGGACTAGTGAAAGTGAAAAGCATAATAAATCTGCGTGTTTAACTGCTGCTATGTATTTACACTTGCGAGAGCAAGTGTCTTGCATTCGGGGGCAAGACTTTAGTTCTCGTAAACAACTTCTTTCACAAATCTATAAGAAGTAGTGGAAGTTGCTTTAGGAGTGAAACTTAGCAACTTTGAGACAATTTCCAACTTGACCTAGGGTAAAAAGGGTACCCTAAGGTCTAGGTTTCGAGGCCCGGCCAGACATTGTTTTTTCAGTAAATATGAAAATGAAAAAAAAACTCCGACAAAATTTGAATTGTTGGACTTCCGTTTGTCTGCTTATGTTATGTCGTCTTTTGCCACTTCGATGAATTTTGTTACGTTGACTGCATGAGTTTTTTTAATTTACTTCTGTAATTTGTAGAATTAATAGACCAGACGTTGTATATTTTCCTTGTTTTTCTTTTTTCGCTTGAAAGCTTTTTAGGCCTAAATGGTTTCGGCATATTCTTACAGCGTTTTTTGTTTTCGGCTCAATGGCCGCCTACCCACTTTTAGTCGGCCGCTGGCTAAATACTGAAAGCTTTTTTAATGGTTGTGTTTTTCTACTGTTTTTCTGAAATTATTCTTTTTTTCGATTTTGTTATTTCCTCAACCTTGTTATTTCCGGTTTTGTCTCATTTTATATTCGCTAGCATGTGATGCTGCGCTCGGGTTGTCTCGTATTTGATGCGAAGTTCCGTTTCGCTTCATTGTTTTCACAAAATTTTTGTTTAACTTTCTATAGTCAAAGTTTCTTTCTGATAATTTTTTGGAATTAATAGCTGGTTTGAATGTTTTTCTGTTATATTCCGACAGCCATCTGCTCATCTTTAACATAGGCTTTCTGGATCTTTTAATAGAAATAACCATTTAAATTTAAGATGGCACGACGACTGCTGTTAATAATAAGGGTATGTGCTAGTTGAATTTTGAGTTAAAAAATGTGTTTTCCTTTTTTTGAGGACTTTGGACTTTTTCAAAAACAATTCGAAGCTTTCGGAGAGTTTTTTACTGTAAATCACAGTTTTTGCTATGCAAAGAGTGTTTTTTACAAATGTTTCTTAAATGAGTTTGTTATCATTCCAGAATTATTTGGGTTATTGAAGCCATTTTTTGCGATAAGCAGCTTAACTCGATAAATCGATCCACCAACTTCCGATGGTTTATGTCGCTCGTTTTTTTCTCGCATTTTTTCGCGATTTTTTGAATTTTTGTGAAAATTTCGCTGAACAACTTCTTCAGCACTGATTTTAACTAATTGGATAAAATGAAAGAACAATATATAAATTTTTTTTCTCCCGGGGGAAAAACTTGGTTTGAATTGAATCAGCTTTTTTGGTGCAATTTTTCAAATCACGAATAAAAATGGAAAAGAAAAAATTAAATATATAAAAAAGTCACCGCAATTGAAACTCAATCTGTTTCTCTTCTTATTTTTGAACCAAATAAATTGACTTGTTCTGAGAGTGTAATTTGGTTTGAATTTTCGCTAAATAAGTTTTCATTAGAAATAAACTGATATTCAGAGAAACAATTTTTAAGTTTTTGTCTTTGTTTATTTCATCAGATTATTTTATATCTGTACTATAGAAGCTTGTTCAGCGTAAAATGCAGAAGAGGAGTTCGGAAAAACGCAAAAACATGCGTAAACAGAAAACAAGCTTATCAGGATGTCAAAATTTTGCGGCGTGTTTTTGTGACGAAAAGAATGACTTTCTAAGCCAAATGTTTGTAAAACTATTTTGATTGATAGGCGCGAAATGGTTTAACTTGATACGTTGACTGCATGAGTTTGAGTTACTCAGTTTTTCGGATCAACCGTACAATTTCACTCCCTAAGTGACTAACCGTAGAATGTACTACCCAGCCACTTATTATTTGTGAAAATTAATTCTAAAGAATGCATATCGAACAAACGCACAAATAGAAATGGTTTTTGCTGTTTTTATTTTTGCTGATTGCATTTGAATACTGTTAAGTACCTAAGTTATTGTAATTTTAATCATCTTTTAAAAATTACAGTTGTAGGTGCTTTATTGGTGGCGAGTGTTAATATAAGTCTGAGCGATTGGTGCAGATGACTTGATTGCGATGTCAAAGGTGCAGTTCCGGCAAAATTTTTAAAATCCTTTTATAGTGACCCTGGCAGCTCGTCGTCTTTTTATAGCAACTGCAGGATCTTTAGTTTTAGCTAAATTATGCTCTGGTAAGCAAACGTGGCGCAGATATGAGGAAGTTCGACTCCAGATCGGAGGTTCGTTTCCGTTTTATAGCCAACATTTTTTCTTCTGTTCTACTTTTTGTTTCTTAAATTTATTTTCGACCTCAAGGCTACTTTTTGCCGTTTTTTTGCATACATTTCGCCTCTGTGTTATTCCTGTTCCGACTACTACCGCATAACATTAGATGGGAAGGAACTAGGGTGTAGGGTAGGTTTTTTGCGAGCTTGAGTGCATCGCGAAAATTCCGAAAGATTCAATGGTGAAGCCAATATGGAACTTTTTCCTGAGAAATGCATTTCAAAAAATTGCGAGAAACAGTTCTGATTTTTTGTTTTCTATTCTGACTCAAATTCAGCGAGAAGCGGATAGTTTTTTGATGAATTTTTAAAGTAAAACTTTACTATTGGACTAGTGAATGTGAAAAGGATAATAAATCTGCGTGTTTAACTGCTGCTATGTATTTACACTTGCGAGTGCAAGTGTCTTGCATTCGGGGGCAAGAATTTAGTTCTCGTAAACAACTTCTTTCACAAATCTATAAGAAGTAGTGGAAGTTGCTTTAGGAGTGAAACTTAGCAACTTTGAGACAATTTCCAACTGGACCTAGGGTACAACCGGTACCCTAAGGTCTAGGATATGAGGCCCGGCCAGACCTTGTTTTTTCAGTAAATATGAAAATGAAAAAAAAAATTCCGAGAAAATTTGAATTGTTGGACTTCCGTTTGTCTGCTTATGTTATGTCGCCTTTTGCCACTTCGATGGATTTTCATGTGCTATCAATGTAGATGTGAGTTTTTTTTTATTTACTCCTGTAATTTGTAGAATTATTAGACCAGACGTTGTATATTTTCCTTGTTTTTCTTTTTTCGCTGCCTAAATGGTTTCGGCATATTCTTACAGCGTTTTTTGTTTTCGGCTCAATTGCAGCCTACCCACTTTTAGTCGGCCGCTGGCTAAATACTGAAAGCTTATTTAATGGTTGTGATTTTCTACTTTTTTCTGAAATTATTCTTTTTTTCGATTTTGTTATTTCCTCAACCTTGTTATTTCCGGTTTTGTCTCATTTTATATTCGCTAGCATGTGATGCTGCGCTCGGGTTGTCTCGTATTTGATGCGAAGTTCCGTTTCGCTTCCTTGTTTTCACAAAATTGTTATTTAATTTTCTTTAGTCAAAGTTTCTTTCTGATATTTTTTTGGAATTAATAGCTGGTTTGAATGTTTTTCTGTTATATTCCGACAGCCATCTGCTGATCTTTAGCATAGGCTTTCTGGATGTTTTAATAGGAATAACCATTTAAATTTAAGATGGCACGACGACTGCTGTTGATAATATGAGTATGTGCTAGTTGAATTTT